TCAATCCTCCTTAGGCTTGGCCGGTTATTACAGATGATTTGTACCGCACTACAGCCAAATCGCCGCCCCACTGACAGACCTAACCAAGAAGAAACAGCCAAATGCTGTTCAGTGGACCGAAAAGTGTCAGAAGGCCTTTAACCAGCTTCAAGCGACATTCATGTCTGACCCTGTACTAAGGGCCCCAGACTTTGACAAACCGTTCCTAGTAACCACAGATGCGTCCGAGCGTGGTGTGGGAGCAGTTTTAATGCAGGAAGGACCTGATCAAGAATTCCACCCTGTCGTGTTTCTCAGCAAGAAGCTGTCTGAGAGGGAAAGCCACTGGCCAGTCAGTGAAAAAGAATGTTACGCCATTGTCTACGCTCTGGAAAAGCTATGCCCATATGTTTGGGGACAGCGTTTCCACCCGCAAACCGACCATGCTGCGCTACGGTGGCTTCATACCACCATGGGAAATAACAAAAAACTTATTCAGTGAAGTTTAGCTCTCCAAGATTTTGATTTCGACATCCAACACATCTCAGGAGCTTCTGACAAAGTGGCTTATGCACTCTCCCGTGCAAGTTTCCCAGAATCAACTGGTTAAAATCGTCCTTGAGATGTGGAAAATATTGTTAGTCTTTATGTACTTGGTAGTATATTTAGAGGTGGATGTGTCTTATTAACTCTGTTTTTTCCTTGAGCTCCAGGAAGAAATCCCAGCCAGCGTTTCACCCTAGCTGAGATTTGGGGGGCGTGTCATAAATTTAAAGGGAAAGGTAAACACCTTTAAAATCCCTCCTGGCCAGAGGAAAAACCCTTCTCATCTGTAAAGGGTTAAGAAGCTAAAGGTAACCTCGCTGGCACCTGACCTAAAATGACCAATGAGGAGACAAGATACTTTCAAAGCTGGAGGGGGGGGAGAAACAAAGGGTCTGTGTCTGTCTGTGTGACGCTTTTGCCGGGGACAGAACAGGAATGGAGTCTTAGAACTTAGTAAGTAATCTAGCTAGGTATGCGTTAGATTCTGATTCCTTTAAATGGCTGAAAAAATAAGGTGTGCTGAATGGAATGGATATTCCTGTTTTTGTGTCTTTTTGTAACTTAAGGTTTTGCCTAGACGGATTCTCTATGTTTTGAATCTAATTACCCTGTGAGGTATTTACCATCCTGATTTTACAGGGGTGATTCTTTTACTTTTTCTTCTATTAAAATTCTTCTTTTATGAACCTGAATGCTTTTTCATCGTTCTTAAGATCCAAGGGTTTGGGTCTGTGGTCGCCTATGCAAATTGGTGAGGATTTTTATCAAACCTTCCCCGGAAAGGGGGTGTAAAGGTAAGGGAGGATTTTTGGGGAAAGACATTTCCAAACGGACCCTTTCCTAGTAATATACTGGTTAGACGTTTGGTGGTGGCAGCGAAAGTCCAAAGGCAAAGGGTAAAATAGTTTGTACCTTGGGGAAGTTTTAACCTAAGCTGGTAAAAGTAAGCTTAGGAGGTTTTCATGCAGGTCCCAACATCTGTACCCTAGAGTTCAGAGTGGGGAAGGAACCTTGACACTTGCCCTTGGTGAATCCATGCTGACTGTTCCTCATCACTTTCCTCTCCTCTAAGTGCTTCAGAATTGATTCCTTGAGGACCTGCTCCATGAATTTTCCAGGGACCGAGGTGAGGCTGACTGGCCTGTAGTTCCCAGGATCCTCCTTCTTCCCTTTTTTAAAGATGGGCACTACATTAGCCTTTTTCCAGTCGTCCGGGACTTCCCCCATTTGCCATGAGTTTTCAGAGATAATGGCCAATGGCTCTGCAGTCACATCCGCCAACTCCTTTAGCACTCTCGGATGCAGCACATCCGGCCCCATGGACTTGCGCTCGTCCAGCTTTTCTAAACAGTCCCAAACCACTTCTTTCTCCACAGAGGGCTGGTCACCTCCTCCCCATGCTGTGCTGCCCAGTGCAGTAGTCTGGGAGCTGACCTTGTTCGTGAAGACAGAGGCAAAAAAAGCATTGAGTACATTAGCTTTTCCCACATCCTCTGTCACTAGGTTGCCTCCCTCATTCAGTAAGGGGCCCACACTTTCCTTGACTTTCTTCTTGTTGCTAACATACCTGAAGAAACCCTTCTTGTTACTCTTCACATCTCTTGCTAGCTGCAACTCTCGGTGTGATTTGGCCTTCCTGATTTCACTCTTGCATGCCCGAGCAATATTTTTATACTCTTCCCTGGTCATTTGTCCAATCTTTCACTTCTCGTAAGCCTCTTTTTTGTATTTAAGATCAGCAAGAATTTCACTGTTAAGCCAAGCCGGTCGCCTGCCATATTTACTATTCTTTCTACACATCGGGATGGTTTGTCCCTGTAACCTCAATAAGGATTCTTTAAAATACAGCCAATTCTCCTGGACTCCTTTCCCCCTCATGTTATTCTCCCAGGGGATCCTGCCCATCAGTTCCCTGAGGGAGTCAAAGTCTGCTTTTCTGAAGTCCAGAATATTTTTTATGAATAAACCTTTAGATTTTAGATTCGAAAGGATTGGCAACAGCGTGATTTGGGGGTAAGATCTGATTTGTATATTGACCTGGGTCTGGGGCTTGGTCCTTTGGGATTGAGAGAACCTTTTTCCTTTTACTGGGGTACTGGTTTTCATAACCATTTGTCCCCATAACGAGAGACCTTGGTGGGGATACTGGGAAACTGCAGTGTCTAAGGGAAAGGCTTGTGTGACTTGTAGTTAACCAGCGGGGTAAAACCAAAGTCTTCTCTGTCTGGCTGGTTTGGTTTGCTTTGGTGTGCACAGAAACCCCAGCCTGGGGCTGTAACTGCCCTGCTTGAAGCAATTTGTCCTGAATTGGCACCTCTCAGCTGGGTCCCGCCAGAACCAGCCTCATTACAACCTTCAACTTGCACCTTTGCAGGGGAAGGGCCAGGCCCTCAGTGGCCAGGAAACAGGGTGTCGGCCATTCTCTGTGCAGACACCATCCCACTGGCCCTCTAGGGCTCTGCGACAATCACACCCCCTTATCCCCCCACCTAGAGACTTAAGAAATGCACAGGGGAAACTGAGGCACACACCCAGTATTTGGAGAAAACATTAAGAACAGTCCCCCTTCCTCACAGGCTGTGACCCTGAGGCCCACCAGGGGAGGGGAGTTGGGTCCCTCAGGCCCAGAGAGCCCACGAGAAGTGGGAGCCCAAACTGCTGCAGGTAACAGAGCACCTGGCAGAAGCACATCCCAGTCAGGGATTCAACGAGACACTAAAGCCCCCACAATCCCCTCGGTGCCCCCCCAGCCCCACAATACCCCGTGGTGCCCCCCCAGTGACCCCACAGCCCCACAATGCCCCACGGTGCCCCCCAGTGACCCCACAGCCCCCACAATGCCCCACGGTGCCCCCCAGTGACCCCACAGCCCCACAATGCCCAGCGGTGTCCCCCCAGCCCCCACAATGCCCCACGGTGCCCCCTCAGTGACCCCACAGCCCCCACAATGCCCCTCAGTGCCCCCCCAGTGACCCCACAGCCCCACAATGCCCCGCGGTGCCCCCCCCAGTGACCCCACAGCCCCACAATGCCAAGCGGTGCGCCCCCAGCCCCCACAATGCCCCACGGTGCCCCCTCAGTGACCCCACAGCCCCCACAATGCCTCTCAGTGACCCCCCAGTGACCCCACAGCCCCACAATCCCCTCGGTGCCCCCCCCAGTGACCCCACAGACCCACAATGCCCAGCGGTGCCCCCCCCAGCCCCCACAATGCCCCACGGTGCCCCCTCAGTGACCCCACAGCCCCCACAATGCCCCTCAGTGACCCCCCCAGTGACCCCCCAGCCCCACAATGCCCCACGGTGCCCCCCAGTGACCCCACAGCCCCCACAATGCCCCGCAGTGCCCCCCCAGCCCCCACAATGCCCCACGGTGCCCCCTCAGTGACCCCACAGCCCCCACAATGCCCCTCATTGCCCCCCCAGTGACCCCACAGCCCCACAATGCCCCGCGGTGCCCCCCCAGTGCCCCCACAATGCGCTGCAGTGCCCCCCCCAGTGACCCCACAATGCCCTGCGCTGGCCCCCCCCCAGTGACCCCACAGCCCCACAATGCCCCGCAGTGCCCCCCCAGTGAACCCACAATGCCCCGCGGTGCCCCCCCAGTGACCCCACAGCCCCACAATGCCCCGCGGTGCCCCCCGACACTACAGCCCCCACAATGCCCTGCGCTGCCCCCCCGACACTACAGCCCCCACAATGCCCTGCGCTGCCCCCTCCCGACACTACAGCCCCCACAATGCCCTGCGGCGCGTTCTCTCGAACAGGGAGGGGCACCAAGTTTTAAAGTCATGATAAATAGTTGCAAACAGGGTCTTGTTGGAGAGATTCCCCCCCATGAGTTCCCCCCCCCGAGAGAACCCAGGAGTCCCAGCTTCCCCCCCCCCGCCTGGTGAGAACCCAGGAGTCCTGGCGCCCACCCCCCGAGTTCCCTCTCCTGGAGAGAACCCCGGAGTCCCGGCTCTATCCCACCGCCCCCCCCCAGAGCCGGGGAGAGAACCCAGGAGTTCTGGTTCCCACCCCCCTCACCCTCCAGCCCTCCCACAGCTGAGGGGGAGGCCGGAGTCCCGCGCCCCCCCCGGGGGCTGCAGCCAGGTGGGGTGGTGGGAGTCGGGGCCGGGCCAGCGGGGAGCAGTTCGGGTCCGAGGCCACGTGCAGGGGGGAGCTCCTGTGGGGGCGGGGAGCGGCGGGGGGCCTGGGGGGGAGTTTTTGGGCGGGGCCCGGCGGGGAGCTCCTGGGGGGGGGAGTTCCCGGGCGGGGCCCGGCGGGGAGCTCCTGGGGGGCGGGAGCTGGGGGGGGCAGGGCCCGGGCGGGGAGCTCCTGGGGGGCGGGAGCTGGGGGGGGGGAGTTCCCGGGCGGGGCCCGGCGGGGAGCTCCTGGGGGGCGGGAGCTGGGGGGGGCAGGGCCCGGGCGGGGAGCTCCTGGGGGGCGGGAGCTGGGGGAGGCAGGGCCCGGGCGGGGCCCGGCGGGGCGCTTCCTGGGCGGGCGCTGCGGGCTCGGCGCTGCTGCCGGACTCGCCATGGCTGGGGCCGCCGGGCTGCTGCTGGCTCTGGCCTGGCTGGTGCCGCTGGCCCGGCTCGGCTCGGCCCGGCCCGGCGCCTGGGGCCCGGCCCCGCTGCGGGAGCAGCTGGCGGCCGCGGGGGCGCAGTTCGGCTGGAGGAACCTGAGCTGCGCGGCCTGCCGCGTCCTCTTCTCCGCCATCGACCTGGGCGTGCAGGTAGCGCCCGCCGCCCCTCACCGCCGCCTCGGGCCGGACCCCCGGGCCGGGACCTGCCTCTGCTCCGCTCCGAAGGGAACCGCCGGTTCCGGAGAGCGTCATTCCGCCTCCCCCTCCCCCACCGGATGCCTGGGTTCCCTCCCGGCTCTGGGTGGGGAGCGAGGTCTGATGGGGTAGAGCGGCGGGGGGGCTGGGAGCCAGGATGCCTGGGTTCCCTCCCCGGCTCTGGTGTTAGCGTCTGACAGCGGTGTGAGGTGCCCGTCCCAGCTTTGGTACGAGATACAATCATCCGTGGGGCTGGGCAGCCTGCTCCATGGGGGCTCCGGGATCGGGACCCGCTGCCTGCCTCGCTGACCTCCGCCGCCCCCCAACCCCCCCAGTGCCTGCTGGGAACAGTTTCTCCTCCCAGCCCCCGGAGTCTGTCCTCGCTTCCCCTGTGTTACAGAGGGAAACTGAGGCTGCTGGATGGGACAGGGCTGGGTACCCTGTGGGTCTGTGGCAGAAGCCAGGATCTGAACCCAGCCCCCCCCCCCCTCCCCGTTGTCGGAGCGGGACGTGTTTGCTGTCACCCGTGGCACAGCTGTGTCTCCCCTTGTGCAGAGGCCGGCAGGCTGGTGGGAGAGCGGGCAGAGTTAAGGGTGTCTGCCCACCTGGTGGCCCTCGCTCTGAGCCCCACAGCAGGGTCCTATCCCAGCGATGCGCCCTCAGGCCAGGTGTCCTGGGTCCTGCCCCAGCAGCAGAGAAATCCTGGGCCCCAGCTGCCAGGACAGTTGCCCAGAGCCCCTTGTGCCCTGAGCATATGGCCCCCCGGCAGTGCTGCAGTGACCCCCTCCCGGAGCCCCTCAACAGGCCCCCTGCCCCCCGCTGGTCCAGCCCCAGTGCGGTACCTGCGGCATCGTGCACGGCCAGCTCTGCCTGGCTGTGTGAGGCAGGACCCTTGGCTCGGCCTCCACCTGCCCCCGCCCCCCGCCACATCTGCCGGTGGCTGACCCCCGGGGGCCGCGCCGAGCCGATGGGGGACTGACTGGCCCTGTGGTCCTTGTCGAGGGCAGAGCCTGCCCCGCTTTCCCCCCCTTCCCGGGGCCTTGACCCGCTCCTGCGCCCCCCACAAGGCCTGGGGGCCCTTGGGCAGAGATGCCAGGGCTGCGGGCGAGTCTGGCGGGGAACCTGCCGTCCCCGCGGGGAACCAGCCCCTGCCCTGGGCTGAGAAGCCTTGAGACGAGCGGAGTCCCCCCCGCCCCGGGGTCAGCGTGTGGGGCTGCGGCGGGGCGTCCCGTGGGCGTGGGGCAGGATCACGGCGCCCGGGCCCCGGGCAGAGCCCAAGTGCAGAGGGAGCCTTGTGAGGAGCACCGGAGGCTGGGCACCTGCCCTGACCCCGTGGCGTCTTGCAGATGCAGTCGAGCGAGGCCCGCCTCGGGCGCCTGGCGGCGAGCGTCTGCACGGAGCTGCGGCTGGCGCGGCGGGAGGTCTGCCAGGACGCCACCCGGCTCTTTGAGAAGGACATGGTGTCGGCCTGGGTGCGCTCGGTGCTGCGGCCGGCCGAGATCTGCGGGCTGCTGGTGGGCGCCGGCTGCGGGCACTGGGACATCCTCTCCGACTGGAACGTGACGCTGCCCGGCACGCCCAAGCCGCCGGTGGAGCCGCCCGCGCCCCCCCCGCCCGGCGCCCCCACCGCCCGCCTGCTCTTCCTCACCGACCTGCACTGGGACCGGGCCTACGCACCGGGCAGCGACCCGGCCTGCAAGGACCCGCTGTGCTGCCGGGGGGGCCGGGCGCAGGGGCCCCCCCAGGCGGGCGCCGGCTACTGGGGCGAGTACAGCAAGTGTGACCTGCCGCTGCACACCATTGAGAACCTGCTGCAGCACCTGGCGCGCGGCCCCCCCTGGCAGCTGGCCTACTGGACGGGCGACCTGCCCGCCCACAACGTCTGGCAGCAGAGCCGCACCGACCAGCTCCTGGCGCTGCGCACCCTCAGCGCCCTGCTGCGCAAGTACCTGGCGCCCCTGCCCGTCTACCCCGCCGTGGGCAACCACGAGGCCGCGCCGGTCAACGGCTTCCCCCCGCCCTACGTCCACGGCAACCAGTCCTCCGCCTGGCTCTACGGCGCCATGGCCGAGGCCTGGGAGGACTGGCTGCCCCCCGAGGCGCTGGAGACCCTCAGGTGGGGCAGGGGCTGGGGGGCATGGAGAGATAGGGGAACTGGCTGGTGAGGAAAGGGGGCCGAGGGGCAGGGCCCTGAGGGCTGCGGGAGGTGGGGGGAGCTGGGGCTCAGGGGGGCAGGGCCCCGAGGACTGGGGGGGGCTGGGGCTCAGGGGGGGGCAGGGCCCCGATGGGAGGGGGCTGGTGCTTGGGGGGGGGCAGGGCCCCGAGGACTGGGGGAGATGGGGGCAGCTGGTGCCCGGGGGGGCAGGGCCCTGATGGGGGTCAGGGCTGGGGCTCAGGGGGCAGGGCCCTGAGGACTGGGGGTCTGGGGCTCGGAGGGGGCAGGGCCCCGATGGGAGGGGGCTGGCGCTCAGGGGGGCAGGGCCCCGATGGGGGGCGGGGCTGGTGCTCAGGGGGGCAGGGCCCCGATGGGGGGCGGGGCTGGCGCTCAGGGGGGCAGGGTCCTGAGGACTGGGGGTCTGGGGCTCAGGGGGGCAGGGCCCCGAGGACTGGGGGTCTGGGGCTCAGGGGGGCAGGGCCCCGAGGACTGGGGGAGGTGGGGGCAGCTGATGCCCAGGGGGCCAGGGTCCTGAGGACGGGGGAGGTGGGGGCAGCTGGTGCCCAGGGGGGCAGGGCCCCGATGGGGGGCGGGGCTGGCGCTCAGGGGGGCAGGGCCCCGATGGGGGGCGGGGCTGGCGCTCAGGGGGGCAGGGCCCCGATGGGGGGGCGGGGCTGGTGCTCAGGGGGGGCAGGGCCCCGATGGGGGGGCGGGGCTGGCGCTCAGGGGGGCAGGGCCCCGATGGGGGGCGGGGCTGGCGCTCAGGGGGGCAGGGCCCCGATGGGGGGCGGGGCTGGCGCTCAGGGGGGCAGGGCCCCCCAGCCGGGATCTCACCTCCCCCCCCCGCAGACTCGGCGGGTTCTACACCCTGCAGCTCCGGCCCGGCCTGCGGCTCGTCTCCCTCAACATGAATTTCTGCTCCGAGGCCAATTTCTGGCTCCTGATCAACGCCACCGACCCGGCCGGGCAGCTGCAGTGGCTGGTGGGGGTCCTGCAGGCGGCCGAGGGGCGGCAGGAGAAGGTGAGGGGTCTGCGGGGGTCGGAACGGGGCACGGTGATTGGGGGCCACTGCCCCTCCCCCAACCTTGCTGGCTGACTCCAGGGTTACAGCTTCAACCCCCCTGCAATGGGAACCCCTCCCCCACTGACCCCCGGGCTCCCCTCCCCCAGCCTGCCCCCCCTGCAATGGGAACCCCTCCCCCACTGACCCCCGGGCTCCCCTCCCCCAGCCTGCCCCCCCTGCAATGGGAACCCCTCCACCACTGACCCCCGGGCTCCCTTCCCCCAGCCTGGGCCCCCCTGCAATGGGAACCCCTCCCCCAGTGACCCCCGGGCTCCCTTCCCCCAGCCTGCCCCCCCTGCAATGGGAACCCCTCCCCCAGTGACCCCCGGGCTCCCTTCCCCCAGCCTGCCCCCCTGCAATGGGAACCCCTCCCCCCACTGACCCCCGGGCTCCCCTCCCCAGCCTGGGCCCCCTGCAATGGGAACCCCTCCCCCAGTGACCCCCGGGCTCCCTTCCCCCAGCCTGCCCCCCCTGCAATGGGAACCCCTCCCCCAGTGACCCCCGGGCTCCCTTCCCCCAGCCTGCCCCCCCTGCAATGGGAACCCCTCCCCCAGTGACCCCCGGGCTCCCCTCCCCCAGCCTGGGCCCCCCTGCAATGGGAACCCCTCCCCCAGTGACCCCCGGGCTCCCTTCCCCCAGCCTGCCCCCCCTGCAATGGGAACCCCTCCCCCCAGTGACCCCCGGGCTCCCTTCCCCCAGCCTGGGCCCCCTGCAATGGGAACCCCTCCCCCAGTGACCCCCGGGCTCCCTTCCCCCAGCCTGCCCCCCTGCAATGGGAACCCCTCCCCCAGTGACCCCCGGGCTCCCTTCCCCCAGCCTGCCCCCCTGCAATGGGAACCCCTCCCCCAGTGACCCCCGGGCTCCCTTCCCCCAGCCTGCCCCCCCTGCAATGGGAACCCCTCCCCCCAGTGACCCCCGGGCTCCCCTCCCCCAGCCTGGGCCCCCTGCAATGGGAACCCCTCCCCCAGTGACCCCCGGGCTCCCTTCCCCCAGCCTGCCCCCTGCAATGGGAACCCCTGACCCCGGGCTCCCCTCCCCCAGCCTGGGCCCCCTGCAATGGGAACCCCTCCCCCAGTGACCCCCGGGCTCCCTTCCCCCAGCCTGCCCCCCTGCAATGGGAACCCCTCCCCCAGTGACCCCGGGCTCCCTTCCCCCAGCCTGCCCCCCCTGCAATGGGAACCCCTCCCCCAGTGACCCCCGGGCTCCCCTCCCCCAGCCTGGGCCCCCTGCAATGGGAACCCCTCCCCCAGTGACCCCCGGGCTCCCCTCCCCCAGCCTGCCCCCCTGCAATGGGAACCCCTCCCCCAGTGACCCCCGGGCTCCCCTCCCCCAGCCTGGGCCCCCCTGCAATGGGAACCCCTCCCCCAGTGACCCCCGGGCTCCCCTCCCCCAGCCTGCCCCCCTGCAATGGGAACCCCTCCCCCCACTGACCCCCGGGCTCCCCTCCCCCAGCCTGCCCCCCTGCAATGGGAACCCCTCCCCCACTGACCCCCGGGCTCCCCTCCCCCAGCCTGCCCCCCCTGCAATGGGAACCCCTCCCCCACTGACCCCGGGCTCCCCTCCCCCAGCGCCCCCTGCAATGGGAACCCCTCCCCCAGCCTGCCCCCCTGCAATGGGAACCCCTCCCCCAGTGACCCCCGGGCTCCCCCCCGATGGAACCCTCCCCCACCCCGCCCCCTCCCCCAGCCTGGGCCCCCCTGCAATGGGAACCCCTCCCCCAGTGACCCCCGGTGGGGGATGGTCACTGTTGGGGGGCCCATCTGTGCGGTTCCCACTCACACCCCCGCCCCCCAGGTGCACATCATCGGGCACATCCCCCCCGCCCATTGTATGAGGAGCTGGAGCTGGAACTATTACCGCATCATCAACAGGTGAGCCCCCCCCGGACGCCTGGGTTCTCGCCCTGCCCCGCCCCCCCCGGACGCCTGGGTTCTCGCCCCCCCCCCCCCCGGACGCCTGGGTTCTCACCCTGCCCCCAGGAGCCCCGCCCTGCCCGGACGCCTGGGTTCTCGCCCCGCCCCCCCCGGACGCCTGGGTTCTCGCCCTGCCCCCAGGAGCCCCGCCCGGACGCCCGGGTTCTTGCTCTGCCCCTAGGGCTGGGAACCTCCTGACCAGCCCCTCCCAGAGCCCCCCTGGCTGACCGGTCATGGAGCCACTGGACCAGCCCCAGGCTCTCCACCTGGCATAGACCAAGCTGGGGTGTCCTTGGGGGGCCCTGGCCCTTAAGGCTCCATCTCTGCCTGCTCGTAACCCTCCTGCTGGGGCCTTCGCTCTGCTCCCTGGGGCCTGGAGGTGTGGGGGTGCCCCAGCCCCTCCCCCCGCCGGGGGCCTGGCCGCCCGCACAGGGATGTGGCTCTCAGGGCAGGGTGGGCCCAGCAGCACAGGGCCTCTCGGTGCCAGGCACCCGCAGCTCCAGTGCCAGCCGAGGCCTCCGCAGCGGGTGCTGGGCTTGGGCACTGCAGGGGGGCCCTTGGGAATGGCCGAGCAGCCGGCTGGCAATGGAGGGCACCCGCCCCGCCCCTTCCAGAGCTCCTGGAGCCGCTGGCCCCCCGCCGGAGCGCAGCAGGGCTGGGCTCAGCCCCCCACGGGCAGCCCCTGGCCCAGCTGCGGGGCCCCACGGGGGGCAGCCTGGCCCCCGACTTCCGTCTCCGCCCACGGCAGGTTCGAGGGCACCATCGCGGCTCAGTTCTTCGGGCACACGCACGTGGACGAGTTTGAGATGTTCTACGACGAGGAGACGCTCTCGCGCCCCGTCTCCGTGGCCTTCGTGGCCCCCAGCGTCACCACCTACATCAACCTCAACCCCGGTGAGTCCAGCCCCCGAGCCGCGGCCTCCCCGCCCGGGGCCCCGCCGGCCCGCAGGGGGTGACTCTCCGCTCTCCCCAGGCTACCGCGTCTACCAGCTGGATGGCGACTACCCCGGCAGCTCCCACATGGTCCTGGATCACGAGACCTTCATCCTGAACCTGACGGAGGCCAACACGCCGGGGGCTGAGCCGCGCTGGCAGCGGCTGTACCGGGCCCGCCAGGCCTACGGGCTGCCCAGCCTCTTCCCGGCCGACTGGGACCGGCTCCTGCGGCGCTTCCAGGCCGACGAGCCGCTCTTCCAGCGCTTCTGGTTCCTCTTCCACAAGGGCCACCCGCCCCGGGAGCCCTGCCGCGAGGCCTGCAAGGCGGCCCTACTCTGCGCCCTGCGCACCGGCCGCTCCGCCGACCCCAGCCTCTGCCACGCCCTGAGCCCCCGCCTGCCCTTCCACCGCGTCCAGGCCCTCTGGCGGCAACGCCGGCTCTGCTGAGCTGGGGGGCGGGGGCCGGGCTGAGCTGGCTGGGGGCTGAGCCGGGCATGGGGCCGGGGGGGCTGAGCTGGCACTTGGTGGGGGGGACTCCGGCCCCTCAATAAAAGCGAAGAGAAACACAGACGTGCTGCTGATGACTGCTGGTGACCGGGAGCTCAGACAGGCCTGGGGTGGGGCGGGGCGGCTGAGTCAGGCCAGGGGGGCGGCTGAGCCAGGCATGGGGCCGGGGGGGCTGAGCCAGGGCTATGGCTGCCCAAACTTCCTGGAGTTCTTGGCCGTGTGGCCCGGCCCCAGGGCGGGTCTGTGATGAAGCGGGACTGTTCTTAATGGTTCCTCTGAATAGTGTGGGGGTGCCAGACCAGACGGGGGTCTTCACGATCGGGTTCCCCATCGGGGGATCGAGACGGACGGGATTGGAGCTGAGTCTGAGAGAGCAAGAGGACCCTGGGAGACAGCGAGAGCCCGAGAAAGAGCTGCAGAAGCAGCAGCAGCGTGAACTGGCGGTGGGGGAGCGGAGAGGCCTAGGGGACCTCCCCGGGGTGAGTGGGGATAGATCCCGGGGGGCCAGTTCACAGGGAACCTCGAGACTAAATTGCTGCCCCTGGTTAAGGGGGGGTGTGTGTGGATGCCCACCTCACTGCCTTTGAGCAGGCTGGCGATTTGAACCAGGGGGACCCTGCGGAAAAGCCCCGGTGTCTAGCTCCCTTGCTGGGTCCCAAGGCCATAGACTCCGTCAGCCAGATGGGTGGGGAGGTGGACGGGCTCCCACTCCTGACCCCAACCTATATGGTCCTGTACTTAGGACAGAAGAATCCCATGCACCGCTACAGACTAGGGACCAAATGGCTCGGCAGCAGTTCTGCGGAAAAGGACCTAGGGGTGACAGTGGACGAGAAGCTGGATATGAGTCAGCAGTGTGCCCTTGTTGCCAAGAAGGCCAATGGCATTTTGGGATGTATATGTAGGGGCATTGCCAGCAGATCGAGGGACGTGATCGTTCCCCTCTATTCGACATTGGTGAGGCCTCATCTGGAGTAGTGTGTCCAGTTTTGGGCCCCACGCTACCAGAAGGATGTGGAAGAATTGGAGAGAATCCAGCGAAGGGCAACAAAAATGATTAGGGGTCTGGAACACATGACTTATGAGGAGAGGCTGAGGGAACTGGGATTGTTTAGTCTGCAGAAGAGAAGAATGAGGGGGGATTTGACAGCTGCTTTCAGCTATCTGAAAGGGGGTTCCAGAGAGGATGGTTCTAGACTATTCTCAGTGGTAGAAGAGGACGGGACAAGGAGTAATGGTCTCAAGTTGCAGTGGGGGAGGTTTAGGTTGGATATTAGGAAAAACTTTTTCACTAGGAGGGTGGTGAAATGCTGGAATGCGTTACCTAGGGAGGTGGTGGAATCTTCTTCCTTAGAAGTTTTTAAGGTCAGGCTTGACAAAGCCCTGGCTGGGATGATTTAATTGGGGATTGGTCCTGCTTTGAGCAGGGGGTTGGACTAGGTGACCTCCTGAGGTCCCTTCCAACCCTGATATTCTATGATTCTATGATATGTCTGTGTGGAGTTTCCTGGGGTCGGGCCCCTCGGACCCCCAGTGGGAGCAGAAGGTGATGGTCAATGGGGAGACATTCCTGGAGTGGCGAGATCCTGGGACAGAGAGAACTGTTGTCAGGCCCTGGGTGGTGCAGCCTGTCACGGAGTCCCTGGGCGATGCTCTGGAACTGCTCCCCATGAAGCCAGTCAGGACTCTGGGGCAGTCGCCTTTCTGTGAGCAGCCTGTCTTCTGGACACACAGCTCACCCAGCTTCCACCTTCCTGGGTCTGACCTCGGAGCATTCAGCATCCTCTGCCCCTCCGTGCGCTTCCCCCCAGCGAGTCCGCTCAGGCGGGGTCCTGGGGAAGCCAGAGGGTCCTGCACCCCAACTTCGCAGTCAGACGTGACTCTCAGCCAGCCAGTAAAACAGAGGTTTATTAGACGACAGGAACATGGTCTAAAACAGAGCTTGCAGGTGCAGAGAACGGGACCCCTCAGCTGGGTCCATTTTGGGGGGGCAGTGAGCCAGACAACCACGTCTGCACTTCACTCCATGTCCCAGCCAGCCCCAAACTGAAAACTCCCTCCAGCCCCTCCTCCTCTGGGCTTTGTTCCTTTCCCGGGCCAGGAGGTCACCTGATTCCTTTGTTCTCCAACCCTTCAGCTCTCACCTTGCAGGGGGGGAAGGGCCCAGGCCATCAGTGGCCAGGAAACAGGGTGTCGGCCATTCTCTGTGTCCAGACCCCTGCACACCCCTGCCCTCCAGGGCTCTGCAATGATCATACACCCTTACCCCACCCCCTAGATACTTAAGAACTGCCTAGGGGAAACTGAGGCACCCCCACACTATTCAGAGGAAACATTAAGAACAGTCCCACTTCGTCACACAGCCTCAGATGCAGAGGGGCTGGGTGAGCTGGGTGAGGGTCCCAGGGACGAAGCCCCTCGCCTTCCCTATGGCCCAGATCCCTGTGCAGACCCAGAAGGGGTGGGGCTGGCTGGTCGTTGGGGTGCTCCAGGATATCAGCTGCGAGACCCTGTTGTGGGGTGACTGTGTCTCTTTGGGACAGGATCCAGGCCTTGCTCCTGTAAAGGCCGAAGGTTTGAATTTGAATCCAGGGGACCAATCGGCGGAGAGGGAAATGGTCAGTGAAAATGCAGATGACCTGGCTGGCAGCAGGGAGGAGCCGCTAGGCTCAGGCTACCTGCCTGCCTGTAACCAGCCCCCTGGGACTGGGTGGGACAGAGAGATGCTCCCTGCCCCCTTGCCCACCGGAGTGGGGGCTCACGCTGGCTCTGATGCAGTGAGGAAAGCAGCGAGCTCCCTGCCTGCCCCCACTGGGACAGCAAGGGCAGCGCTGAGCACAGTGGGAGCCGAGACCCCAGCTGAGTGCGGGGAGACACAGGCAGGACAGGGGATCTGTTGGGAGTGGCAAGGTGCTTGGTAAGGGAAGTTTGGATGAGCCTAGGCAGCCTTGTGAGCTGATGGCTGTGTCCAGTCAGCAGGGTGGGAAGGCGAGGAGAGCGGAAGATGAGTGTCCCTGGACCTTACCTGTTACCTGGGTGGAGAAGTGTGACAGGGAAGGAAACGTGCCTGTGTCTGTCAGGGGTATTGACTTGCCTATGGAGGGAGCTACCCTGATCTCCAAGCAGTTGTCTGTGACCAGCCTTGTGTGCTGGGACAAGGGGAAAGAGGTCCCAAGCTGTGTGTCTGGGAAAGGAGAAAGTGTGTCCGGCTCTTCTTTGCCTTTGGAGCAGACAGAAGGGGCCTTTCAGCCTGTGATGGTTGAGGGTCGTGCAGTTGTCTCAGAGCTGGTTCTGGATTCAGCTAAAGCCCAGGAAGGGAAGGGCCCTAAGTTTGGGTCTGCTCGGGAGAATGGCCCTGTAACTAGGTCGCAGCCAGTTAGTGTCTATGCAAAATCCCAGAGCCCAGACAATTCTGGTGCTTGTATTTTGCCTGTTGCTAGTGTGTTGTTGGGGAAGGGTGGAGCAACTCTGTCTAATCAGGGTGAGATCCTAGCCAGAGCACAAGGAGAGCATGAAGGTGATGTGATTGTTACCTACTGAGGGTGTGGAAACCTGTAGCAAGAAGGAAAAGATTCCTAAACTTTTGTGTGGCAAAGGGAAGGAGAATGCTTCTAACCCTTTATCTAGGAAGTCTGTCAGTTTGCCTGAAAGGGGATTGTGTAGGAATCCGCCGGATGGGCCAGAGGTGATTCTGGATGTAAGGGAGACCCAGAAAGAGTCTGTTGTTGCTCAGGAAAGTGTTCCTCTAGAGTAAGCCCTTGGTACAGAGAGTAAGAGCAGAATTTCTGTGAGGGGTGAATTGTTGCATAGAAAAGCCCTAGGAAAAGGAATCCTCATGGAGTCTTTGCAAGCAGTTTACTGCAACTGAAGGGTGTGAAAGTGATTTAATCAAGAAAGTTTCAGTTCCTAACGGCCAGAAATTTTCTGTTGTGAATGAAGCCACTTTCACTTTGTTGAAAGACCCAGTGTGGAGAGCTTTGAGAAGGTCTCAGATCGAGTGACAGCTGTTAAGAAAGTTAAACAGTCCTATAACCAAGTGGCTGTGTTTGGCCGGCTTGTTGGGGAGCAGACCCAATTCCAGTTTGACTCCCTGGGGTTTTGCGGTGGCCAAAGGGCACGGGCCGCATAAACCTTCCCACATGCGGCCTGCGAGTGCTATCGATCACCCCCCCGACTGAAGGGAGGGCGTGAAACTGGAAGTGCCTGGTGTAACTCTTACCAAGGAATGGGAGAGATGCTGGGGCATCCATGGGAACGTTGGTGGCTTTGAACTTCCCCAGGTCACTGGCTAAAGTGACCCCGCTCAGTTCGATCTCGAAGGGGGGAGAGATGTGACGAAGGGGGGCTGTTCTTAATGTTTCCTCTGAATAGTGTGGGGGTGCCTCAGTTTCCCCTATGCAGTTCTTAAGTATCTAGGGGGTGGGATAAGGGTGTATGATCATTGCAGAGCCCTAGAGGGCAGGGGTGTGCAGGGGTCTGGACACAGAGAATGGCCAACACCCTGTTTCCTAGCCACTGATTGCCTGGCCCTCCCCCCCCTGCAAGGTGAGAGCTAAAGGGTTGGAGAACAAAGGAATCCGGTGACCACCTGGCCCGGGAAAGGGACAAAGTCCAGAGGAGGAGGGGCTGGAGGGTAAGTGAGTTTGGGGTTGGCTGGGGACAGGGAGTGAAGGGCAGACGTGGTTGTCCGGCTCACTGCCCCCCCCCAAAATGGACCCAGCTGAGGGGTCCTGTTCTCTGCATCTGCAAGCTCTGTTTTAGACCATGTTCCTGTCGTCTAATAAACCCTCTGTTTTACTGGCTGGCTGAGAGTCACGTCTGACTGCGGAGTTGGGGGGCAGGACCCTCTGGCTTCCCCAGGACCCTGCCTGAGCGGACTGGCTGTGGGAAGCGCATGGAGGGGCAGAGGAGGCTGAATGCTCCGAGGTCAGACCCAGGAAGGTGGAGCCGGGGGAGCTGTGTGTCCTGCAGACAGGCTGCTCCCCGAAAAGAGACTTCCCCAGAGTCCTGCCTGGCTTCGCAGGGAGCAGCTCCAGAGCATCGCCCGGGGACTCCATGACA